ATATTCAGGTACGCTTATTTACATGAGTTCAGAAGTAATGAGTGCAGAAAAACTTCCCTGCAACACACACAGATGCATTCTCACCAGTGATTTGTTTAAAAGATTTGTTTTTATTTTATGTGTATATATGTGTACCTGAGTGTATGTACATGCACCATGTGCCTTAGGAACCTGAAAGATAGGAGCGGTGTTGGATCTCTGGAGCTGGAGTTGTGAGCTGCCATGCGGATGTTGGGAACTGAATTCAGGTCCGCTGCAGGAGAAATAAATTCTCTTAACCCCTGGGCCGTCTATTCAGAGCGTCATCAGTTAGCAGATACTCGCACCAATCTTCAGCCCAGTCCAGGGTACCAAAGCGAAGCTAGACTGGGATACTCTTGAGCTGGTCCACAAACTTCTACTGAAATATCTAGCCTCTGCCAGGCACTGTTGCTGCTATTCCAGTGTCTCTTGCACTACTGAAAGACAGTAAGTAGACACAAATTTAGACTGGGTAGCATATAATAAGGGCAAAATTAATTATATGGACAGCCACATAATACTGTGGACAGAGTTTTAGTTTCTGAGAGCCATCAGAACAAGTTACTCAACTAGGCGTCTGCACTTTTTTAAAAAATATTTATTTATTTATTATGTATACAATATTCTGTCTGTGTGTATGCCTGCAGGCCAGAGAAGGGCATCAGACCCCATTACAGATGGTTGTGAGCCACCATGTGGTTGCTGGAAATTGAACTCAGGACCTTTGGAAGAGCAGGCAATGCTCTTAACCTCTGAGCCATCTCTCCAGCCCTGAACTTTTTTGTATTAATAAAAATATTGGAATATTATCCTGTTTATTTGCTGATTGTGTATGACTAGTTTGGGCTACCGTGGTAGAGCTGGATAGACGAAATGGGGATATGTGACCTACAAATATTTACAATCTGGATCTGTGAGACACGAACTCTCAACCTGGTTCCTTATTTGTAAAACTCACAAAACTTGTCATCTGAATCAAATGGGATAAGATACAAAGGTACTTTGTGATTTTTTGTTTTAAGGTTTATTTTATTATTACATGTGTACAAGTGTTTTGCCTACATGTATGTCTGTGTACTGCGTATGTGTCTGGTGCTCATGGAGGTCAGAGCAGGGCATTGCATCCTTGGGTGTGAGTTACCATGTATGTGCAGGGAATTGAACTTGGATTCCACACAGTAGGAGAGAACCAACTCCCACAAGTTGTTCACTGGTCTCTGAATAAGCACATACCCACCCACGTAGGCACATATGTACACATTACAGGAATATTTTGTTGTTCTTTTTGAACTATTGAGGGCCAGAGCAATGGCTCAGCAATTAAGAGCACTCTTGCAGAAGACCAGTGTTTAGTTTCCAGCACCCACGTGGTGGCTCACAACCCTTTGTAATTCCAGTCGCAGGGCATCTGATGCTCTCTTCTGATCTCCTTTGGCACAAGGCATACCTACGAAGAACATACGTGCAGGCAAAACACAAAGTAAATCTAAAATTTTTTAATTAACTGAAAATTTGTAGCTGTGTGGTGGTAGCAGCAGTGGCACAGGCCTTTAATCCCAGCACTCAGGAGCTAGAGGCACAGGCAGCAGATCTCTGAATCTGAGGCCAGCCTGGTCTACATTATGAGTTTTAGGACAGCCAGGGCTACATAGAGAAACCCTGTCTTGAAAAAAACAAACAAAAGACTTGATTAAAATTTTAGCACTTTATGGCTGGGGAGGTAGCTCTATAAAGTGCTTGCTAAGTATGCACAAAGCCATGGGTACACTCCCTAGCACCCCATAAAACTGGGTATGGTGGCAATGTGAGCTCAGCTCTCGGGAAGATCAAAAGTTGAAGGTCATCCTTAGGTCCACAACTTCTCCCAGACCAGCTTAGACTGTTTTAAAAACAAGTGTGGAACCCTGGAGAGATGGCTAGGCTGCCAAGAGCAGTGGTACCTAACCATTGGTATCCCAGAAACCAGATGATAAGCCAGACACAGCCATCTCACAAATACCTCTACAGCTCTGAGAAATCTAAGGGCCTCCTCTGGAATCACACGCACAGGAACATGCGCCTGTACATACATCTGCACGTTCATTCACACACGGGCATGCAAGCACATGCACACCAGTCTTTAAAATAGAAGGCCTGGTCAGGAAGGGTCTTCTTTTTAGTTTGTTTGTTTATTATGTATACAGTGTTCTGTCTGCATCCAGAAGAGGGCACCAGATCCCACTATAGACAGTTGTGAACCACCATGTAGTTGCTGGAAATTAAACTCAGGACCTCTAGAAGAACAGTCAATGCCCTTAACCTCTGAGCCATCTCTCCAGCCCCTGCCTACAAGGGTCTTTAGATAAAGGCCATGAGCCATGTTACCGGTCCCTTCAGTAATTTTTGTATAAACAGTATATGAATAAAACTCCCCAGCAAAAACACATACCTTCAGTGTGCCTTCTTAGGACAAACATTAGAGCAGGAAATGAAGATTTAGCATTTGTGTGATTTGAGGAAACAATAAAAGCAATAAAAACCACAAAGTTCACATGTCTAGCTGTACGTAGAGAAAAGCCAAGACTGTCACCACAGAGAACACCCACACTCTGGGGTAGGTGGCACTGGAGCCGTTAAGAAACCTGGAAAGAGTGCCAGGTGGGTAAGAGGAGAGTGGGACTGTGTCTAAGATGGAAGGAGGAAGGGCTCAGAGCAGCTCTGTGTCAGGTGGCTGAGTGTGCAGTGTGCAGCCTTTGCCAAGGCGCCTGGGTTTCACTGCTGATCAGGGGAAGGTGAACGTAAAACCCCGGAGAGCTCATTTTGCGGGCTCCTTAGTTACTTTGGAAGTGCAGCAAAATGAAAGTAGCATAAGCTGGACTGCTGGCAGCTAACTGCTGTGGCGAGGAGGAATTGTGGAGTGTACTGGGGGGGGTGGTTCTGTGGTAGAGCACTTGCCTAGCGTGCACAGGGTCCAAAGTTCAGTCCCAAATGCTGACTGGAAGTGGGACTGGGGAAGGACTGGAGAGCAAAGAAGAGGAAGAGGATGGGTAGGCTCAAGCAATCTTTTCAGTAAGGCTAAGGACCCATGACACCAGGAAGTAATTATTATGAATAGCAAATATAAATTACAAAAGTTTCACAAACAAGAGAAAATCCAAGGGGCTGGAAAGAGAGATGGCTCCACAGTAAGAACACTTGCAGAGAACCTGCGATCAGTCCTTAGCAACTGCATGGTGACCCACAAACATCTAATTCCAGTTCTAGGGGATCCAATGCCTTCTTCTGACCTTCTTGGGCACCAGGCATGCACATGTATACATCATACATGCAGGCAAATAATCATACACATTAAATAAAAATAAATCTTAAAAAAATCAAGCAAGGAGCCGTAATGCTGGCTCAACATTGAGAACACTGACTGCTCTTCCAGAGGACCCGAGTTCAATTCCCACACCCTCTTGACAGCTCAAAACTGTCTGTGGCTCTAGTTCTGGGGATCCAACACCCTCACATAAATATACATGCAGGAAAAACACCAATGCACATAAAATAAAAATAAGTAAATTTAAAATAAATAAAATGAGTCAGGCATGGTGGCTCATGCCTCCTTTTACCCCAGCACTCAGGAGGCAGAGGGAGAGGCAGGCCTGGTCTATGTAGCAAGTTTTAGGCCAATCAGGGCTACATAGTAAGACCCTGTCTCAAAATATATATATATATAAAGCTAGGCAGTGGTGGCACATACCTTTAATCCCAGCACTCAGGAGGCAGAGGCAGGCGGATCTCTGTGAGTTCGAGGCCAGCCTGCTCTACAAGAGCTAATTCTAGGACAGGCTCCAAAGCCACAGAGAAACCCTGTCTCGAAAAACATATATATTTCTCATATATATAATATATATTTTTAATATATAATATAAGCATATATATATAATGGCTCCATCAAAGTCACAAATGGAGCTAAGAGTGGTATTTCACATCTCTACTTCCTGGGACACCAGGGTAACTTTGATTTCTAGGCCAACCTGAGCTACACAAATAAGGTTTTGCTTAGAAGGAGGTCATATTTTCTGAAATAAAGGGAGGCGATTTATTTACCAGCAATGGGAAAAGCTGTGTGACTAGTGAGAAGCATGCTGAACAGCTGAGAAGCAGTGACTAAGATGACAGAATTATCCGATGCACTGGAAAGGCTGAGGATGAGCGAGGAAATGGTTTTGGTAGAAACTGGGACAAATCAGAACGAAAGAAAGACACGAGAAGGCTACCGCACCATCCATACATGGGCTTCACTCAGCAACACTGAGTAGCTTTCCTCGGCCTAGCATGCCTTTGGCAGATACAACTGTTTGAGTCTGCTATGTCTGACCCAGTCTGAGTTCCCCTATCCTGACCTCAACAATTCTAGGGCACTATGCCCTCTTCAAAATCGCAGTGGCTGGGGGGCTGAAGAGATGGCTCAGTGGTTAAGAGCACTGACTGCTCCTCCAGAGAACCCGGGTTCAATTCCCAGCACCCACATGGCAGCTCACAGCTGTCAATGTGCATGAAATGAAGTTAAATAAAGTTTTTTTTTTTTAAAAAAAATCCTAGTGGCTGTTTTGCAGGCAGCAGGTTATATACATGCATTTACCCCCAAGCATCAACAGCTCCCATCAAAGCAGAGCTGCCCCAAAGCAGAAGAACCTGCTTGTCTAGCCAGCTGGAAGGTTCCACAGGGAGAGACAAAGAGAAAGGTACTAGCTCCTGAGTGTGAACAGAAAAAAATAACAACAAACCCACCTCAGCTCTGAACCTCTAAGTGTGCCAAGGGTGTTCCCGAGGGAAGCAGCAGCCACAGTGTCCCTCACAGGTTTGGTATTATCCCACCCAGACTCTACCTTTGGAGCTTGTATTCACAAACACTTCTATCTGCTTTTCAGAAGCCCAGTGGGTGAGATTTAAGGTATTCAAGGTTGAAAGTTTTCAATTTACCACAGTCAGCAAAGTGTTTAGGTAAAAAAATGTCTTTAATCAGAAAGGATTTATTTTTTTCCTCACCACAAATACATTAAAAGTAAAAAAAAAAAAAAAAAGAAATACACATAAACATAATATTTACACAAATGGGAACTCAGAGGACGTTGTAAAGCCTGAGCCAGGGGCTAAGGACCAGGGCCACCGGCAGGATGGCTGGTCAGCTGTGGCTCCAGGTGTCCTGCAGCCGTCTCTCTGACTGTGGCAGGGAGAGCAGGGGCAGAGAGGGTGCAGCTCCGGTCTGAAGGCAGCGTTACTGGCAAACTGTGGCAACAAGGCCCCTCTCCAGATGGTTTCTTCAGATCACCAGGGCTGACAGGAGACAGTGCAGCTGGTGGGATCGGAGTGCCGGGGGCAGAGTGGGTGAAGGGTGTTCCTGTCTTCTGGAGCACAAGGATGACACCAATGCTGGCTGCAGTGCCTTGGGAACTGTGGCTGGAGGTGGAGCCTTGGGGACTGAGGGGAGGGCTACAAATGGGAGGGCTGTGACTCCAGGTGAGGTTCATAGCTGGCCACTCTGCCAGATGCCAAGGCTGCTTTGGTTTCAACACTACATGTCCTAGCTGTGCTTGGCCCAGCTTCTCCATGAGAGGTGCAGGAGAGGAGGCAGCTGAGTCACTGTGGGGGCTTGGAAAGTCCTGGAGAGTAGGGACAGAAGAGAAACAACCAATGGTTAAGAAAGCTTACAGATTAGCTCCACTTAGCCTGGACCTTTGCTGTCCGTGAGAACGCATTGTGCAGTGCAAACACACATTGTTTTGTGCAACAGATGTGTTCTTGCCAGGTGATGATTAAGTAAAAATTTTAGCAATCACGTAATGCTTCCATTTCTCCAACCAACAGCTGATAGGCGACTGTGTAACACGAGAAACAGACAAGCTAAAACAATCCTACAGTTCTCACTATCTACACAGTGATTCCTGTTTAGTTTCTTTAAAGTCTTTTTTTCCCCCTGTGGTGTTAAGAGAATCAAACCCAGGCCTGTTATGGCTGGAGAACACTCTAATAAATCACACCCCAGCCAGAGAAGAGTAAGTGAATTAACGTCCTGATTTCTGAGTTGAAGATCCTCATTTTCCATGTTTTAGTTCTCCATGAGGCATATCCTGTTACTTTTCAGTCAATTATTTTCACATCATTAAAAATTATAGTTGACTTAGTTGAACATGTTGGCAATTGCTTTTAATCCAAGCACGAGGGAGGTAAAGGCAAGTGGATTTCTGTGAGATCCAGGACAGCCAGAGCTACACAGAGAAACCTTGTCTTGAAAAAAACAAAAGCAAATTAAAAAAAAAAAACCCACAATTATAGACGCCTAAGGTTTGACCTAGAATATTTTGACAGGAGTCAAAAGGTGGAGAGGGTAAGGGTTTGGAGAGCCGCAGGAAGGATTTGTAGAGGAAAACTGAGACGTCTTCCTGTGAGAGTCATCTGTATCTTCAGAAAGCAGATAAGCTGCAACAGGAGATCCCAACAAAATAGAAACAACATCTAAGCTAAATATAAAAAGTACAGGAATGCACAAAGTTGGGCATTCCTTTCCCTGAAAAAAACAAAAAAATACCACCACCAACAAAAACCTTAAGGGAAATGGGAAGAGGAACACATTTCTCCATACACAGTCCAGTTCTTGATTTTTCTCCCATCTCTTCCTTAGTTTTGAGGTTCTTACCTTGTTTATCTGATGCCTGCTCCCTCCTAACGATGACTTCTGGACAGCTATATGAGGAAACCAAGTCTTTAACATCCCTTCCACTTGCAGCAACGTTCCTAGGTAACGTTCTCTGTGGAAAAGGTAAAAGTCACTAAGTATGAAAAAAGAGACATGGAGAATTGTACAGGCCTCCCCCAATGAGATACTGAGGAGAGGAAGAGAGACACAGGGAGACTTACCCCATCTGAGGCTTCCGTAAAATACCCACTATCCGCTGGATCCGGTCCATGGCCACACTCTGCTGGAAGCTACTCAATCCTAAGGTGAAGGAGAAGGTGGTCAGAGGGGTGGAATGTAGCTCGGTGGCAGAGGGCTTGTCTAGTGCACACAGGGCAATTGGTTCATGCCCCAGCAGGAGAGAAAGCAGAGGTGAGGATTGAGGTAGGTGTAAAGACAGAGAAAGATGGGGGTTAAAATCGATTCACCCAAAGAAATCAAGTTGCAGATGCAAACAGGGAATAGCCCAGATCCCAAAGAAGAAGATTTAATAATCGTACATTTCACACAGAGAAGGGCATACTATCCCCCGAGCCCAGAAACATAATCAATCAGCTTATTACCTCTGTCGAAGCGGCCCATTTTCAGTCCGTTCAGTAGATCTGTGAGGGGCCGTATGAACCCTTGGAGTTCTTTACACTGTAGGAAAACAGCAAAAAGACAGCAGGGATTTTTCTGCTGTCACATATCTGGCAGCCAGTACCATCCATCCCCTCAGGGTCCTTACCAATTAGGTGCTTGACGCTGCACTACTGTCTCCTGCTTTCTCTTACCTTTTGAGCAAACAGCAGGTCTCCCTCTGTGATGATACATCCCTGGGTGTGTAGACTGGTCTCCAGTTCCCCGTCTCTTGATCTTTTGACCCTAGATCCTCGCTGTTCCAGATGAGATGCTGTATGCTGGTTACCAGAAACCCTGGGTCGATGTCTGCAGCGGATAGGACCTGGACTGGGCTGGGCACCTCCCCTTTGCCCAACAGCTTCTGGCCTGAGCCCATGGGCGCTCTTGCCTTCCCTCTCATTATCAGAGGAGAAGCTAAAGTCACTGTTCACAGGGGATGTGGAAAATGACGAGGAGAGTGAGGAGGAGGAACAAGAAGAAACGCTAGATGGAGATTCCATAGGTCCAGGAGCAGAGGCTGAAGAGCGAGCGGCTCCTGTAGTACCAGAGCTCAGAGCCCGCAACTGAAAAGCAAAGCGAGAGACTCTGAAATCAGAGTCAAAAGGATTAGGAAAGGGCCTGGGAGACTGGGGCGTTCTCAACAGAAACCTTAAAAAAAAAAAAAAAAAAAACTTGCTTTTTCACCCCCATTCAAAATCCAGACCGCCGGCCCACGGCTCTTGACCCCACACAGCCTTTCTTCCTTTGGGTTCAGAGTGAATACCTGACTTTACACCTTGCCCTCCGTCTGCTGTTCTGGGCTGTTCCCTTCCGGACCTCATAGTGAGCTTATCGACCTAAAAAGCCACCCGCTAGTGGCTCGTCTGCGCACCAAAACCCACCTAAGGTCCCTATGGGGGCCGTCCCCATGGACACCCGTCTCTGTAGCTTTCGCATCCCTCACCGTCAGGTGCCCTGCGGCCGGTCAGCCTATGGTCGCACCTTTCAGGTAATGCAATTCCTCCCAAAACCCAGATCTGTGGTCTCACAAGCCCATTCCCTCCGTCCGGGTCAGTCTTCCGGAGCGCTCCGCTCTGGTCCGCTCACCTGGGTCAGCCGGCTCAGCCCCGCTCGGGCTCAGTACCCCGCTCCTTCTTCCACCATCTGCGCCGGTCTAGCCGACCCACCTCCGCCTCACTCTGTGGGTCCCGCCCCTTCCCCCTCCCAGACACGTGCGGCTCTGCACGTGCCTCCCCCTGCGTACACAGACCTCGTGCTCCCATTGGACAGCTTGCCGGCAACATGTGACTCTAGATACAGACACTCACAGCCCATTTGCTACCGCACGCGGGGGCTCGGCCAATAGAGAAGCAGCCAAGTGGTGATTGGCTGGAAGGGAAGCAGTCGATGCTCCACCCGTACATGCGGCTCCTCCGGTGATAAAAAGGAGGATGGAAAAAAGTGAAAATGAAGCAAGGGGCGGAAAAGGGTGGAGCTCATAGCCTTAAATAGGACGGTGCTGCGCGGGAGACTGCGCGGCTGGAGTGTGCAGAGCGAGACCATGCTACGGAGGCGGTGCCTCGGGACGTGGGCCCCTCCGAGCGCCTCCGCGCACGGGCGCAGCACGTGGGAGCTCTCAGCAACTCGTGTCCGCAACGTGTGTGACAACGGACGTGTGACGCCGGGCATCCGTTCCCGTGTCGGCGGCTCGCCCTCGTGACTCCCCACTCTTTCATCCTCCCCTCCTCGGCTGATAGTTGGGTGCCTCCTGCCCTGCTGGGCGAGGAGGGTGGGGACTGCAGCCGGAACAGCGCGTTCTCTCCCGGGGCTCCCGCCGAGCGGCTTCTCCAGCCGGTTCTTACATAACCCGCCACGCACGTTACCATCTCAGATGCCAGCCCGCCAAGACTCTGGGGTCAAAGCCGAACTCGTCCCTGACTTTTCTGCCCCGGGCCCTTGGGACCCTTCAACTCAATTCTCTGATTCTCAGCACAGGGAACAGAGTAGAGTAGTAGGTCCTTGATCCTCAAGGTTATGGCTTTATTTGGCGCCAGCTTATTTGTTCCTTTGAGAAGACTGGAAAGACATTGAGGAAGGAAAAGAGCAAGTCCAGAGTCACCCATAGACGCTAACAGCCGTTTTATCAAGTCAGAGTTAAAGCAAACAATGAAGAACAAGACCCTGTAATTTGAAGACAACAGAGAGATCGCAAGGGGGCACTCTAGTTCTGACTAGGGTCGGGAGGACAGAGACTCTAATTTTTTTAAAATGCATATTCTTACCAAAAGAAAAAATTGAACAGGAATAAAGTCGGGGTTTGGAGAGTGCATTATTATTTTAAATATATTTGAATACTCTTTACTTATATTTAGCAATGTGGTTATTTTAGAAAAAGGAAAAGAGTTTCTAAATTAAACCTCAGCACTGTTTCCCCAAAGTTTCAAGACAATGTCATATAAAATATAATTAAGCTGGGTGTGATGTCTTATTCCTGCTGTAATCCTAGAGGTTGGATGTAGGAGATGGGTTCAAGACCAGCCTGAGCCACGGGAGACTGTTAGAAAAAAGAAAGATTAGAAGAAGAAAAAATTAGAATTACAGGCTCAGAATAAACCTGTTATCTGTGAGTATTCTCTTTTCTACCCCAAACTAGGTTTATTTATGGGGTATGATTCCTCCTAATTAATTGACATCTAATTCAAGGGTTTTTTGTTTGTTGTTTTGGTTTGTGTCCCCCCCCCCACACACACACACAGGGTTTCTCTGTGTAGTCCTGGCTACCCTGGAGGAACTCTCTTTGCAGACCAGGCTGGCTTCGAACTCAAGAGATGTGCCTGCCTCTGCCTCCTGAATTCTAGGCATGCACCACTACACTCGTTTCTAATTCTCTTTCTATTCTGCCCTTCATGCTCCCCCAAGTTTTGCTGTAATTGTTGACTTTAGAACCGTCATTAAGAAGTAGACAAAACTATTTTATTTTTCAACCAGCTTCTTGCCAAACTCTAGTCCAAAGAGTCATAGCAGCCTTCTCTCACCTGGAGGGAGGGGAATAAAAACAGAATCAGGTGGCTGACTTGATGTTTAAGAGGACACACTTGGTTTTGTTTTGTTTTTCAAGACAGGATTTTTCTGTGTAGTCTTGGCTGTCCTGGAACTCGCTCTGTAAACCAGGCTGGCTTTGGATTCTCAGAGATCTGCCCACCTCTGCCTCTCGAGTGCTGGGTTTAAAGCCTGTGCCACCACCGCCCATTATTGACAACTGGCTGACTAAGTTCAGTTCCCAACACAAATGCCCGGCGGTTCCCAAGCCCCAGCAAACTCCCATTCCTAGAACTCTGGGGGCTCCGGCCTCCTAAGCTCCACACTCTCTATACATACACAGGAAAGCAGTAGATCCAAGAAACCAGAACAGGAGGCCAAGGGAGTCTCCCCTTGCTCCCATTGCTTATGCAGACCCCACAGATTTCATGTTCTAAGATGGATTCTCCATTCGTTGTTGAGAAAGATGTGTCCCTTTCATGCCTCCTTCCTCCTGCTGAACTTTGCCTCTTGGCTCTACAGGGTTGTAGGACACACCCATTTTGACCTCTGGCACCTGCCATAACTTCAAACCTGGGCAGACTCAGCCCTGATTTTCCCAGGCTTGTTGAAAGCTTGGAAAAAGGCTTCTCCATTCAGCCTGCCTATCTTCTAGGAGGTCTTGAAAGTCCTCCCAGACCAGAATAAACGAATGGCATTACAAGTCTTTGTTTCAACTCATTCCAAATTTTAAGATTAGATAATTAGATATTTTCTAAATGGGATCCTGCTTCTTTCCTTAAGCATAGGAGAACTGAGCAGGTTGGTAAGAATTGTTTCATAGCACCCCACCAAAGCCTGTGGCTGCCCTCTTACCTTCTACATAAAGTGCAGCGCTCCTTGAAGGAGGGTCCATAAGAGAAGACAGGACACAGAACTCTGCAGACTGGACATGGCATCATTCTGATCTGGAATCTGCTAAAACATCCCCCCCCACACACACACACAAGAGGTCATTGTCACCCTTCCTAACAATTCCCATTCCCCCTCCAGGAAGATAGCCACCTCCTTACACTAACCCCCTTTTCCCTTACCTCTGATCTCAAAGGAGATTCAGCCCTCCTCCCCATCGCTGTAAAGAATTCTTCCTACTTAGGAGGCCATGACTCTCAATGACATTCGATGTTTTATCTTTTGTGTGCATGACTTTGTGCTAGACACTGTGGTAGGCGCTTTGGGGGTTATAAATGAGACATTATTACGTTCGTGCATGTACGAGGGGCTTACCACCTACAGAGAACCTACTGTGCATTTAAAACCTTTGGGAGATTTAGTGTCAGGCTTTGCTGTCAGTCCTGCAGGTTCCTCTCATTTGTATTCAACTGCTTGTTTTCAGTCCTGTTGCGTTGCCCTTAATAGTCATTGGTGTTTTGTTTTATGTTTTTATTTTTTTTTGTTTTTTTTTACGTTTATTTTTTTAATTTGTTTTATGTTTTTAATTTCATATTTTTCAGATGGGTCTATATTTTCTACATTTCCTCATAATGTTCATCATCACAATACCCCCATAGGGATGAAAACCAGAGTTTTACAAATGCTGTACCAGAGCGCTACCGCTGAGCTACCCCCAATCTCTTCTCTCCCTGCTCTCCTCTTTCTTTTATTGTTTTGTTTTTTCAGACAGGGCCTCTCTACATCGCTCTAGTTTTACTAGTACTCACTGTGTAGGACAGGCTAGACTCGAACTCAGATCTTCCTGCCTCTGCCTCCTGAATGCTGAGATTAAAAGCATGTACATGAGCCTTCCTTAGTTTGAGGTAGGTTTTGGGCTCTTGGTAGCTTTTGACTGATTATATCAAGTTTTCTCTAAAGTTGGCTGTCTGCCTGCCTCTTCCTTTTCTTTGATTGATTTCTCTTCCTCCACTGACTGAGTCACTGGCCTTCCTACTTTCACAACTGTAACTTTGCCCTTAGGTCTCTACTCCTGATCTAGTTTGCTGCCTTCAGAACACCCACACAGGCTGTCAAAATTATCACTTCCAACCTAAGCCACACTGGCCTCCAAGAGTTCCCATCTTGGTCAACCATTTCCCAAACATGTTTATTAGATCCTATTTCTATTTCATATGTACATGTGTGTTTTGGTGTATGTATGTGTGTATATGTGGAGAGGTCAGAGGACAACGTGAAGGTTCGTTCTTTCCTTCCATCACACGGGTCCTGGGGATCGAATTCAGATCATCCTGTGGCAGACATCTGTACCGTCTGAGCCATCTCTCTGGTCCTCCCAAACATAGTTAAAGTCTGCAAGTTATTTTAACTCCCCTCCCTTTTTTCTTTTATAAGATTACTACTAAAGAGAAGCATTTTCTTCTAACTTTATTCTTCTGCTCTCAATTTACATGCCATTCCCCTAGTCCAGCCCTTTATCGGGTATTTCTTGGACAGCATCAACTTTTCCACTATGCATCTTGCATTTAGTCAGATGAAGAGTTTTCCTAACTTTTGATTCCATTGTCTTCACCCCACTTGGAGGGTTTACCCCATTGTGTATCAACCCAAAGTCCAGCCTGACACTTCAGACCATCTATTTGTCCCTAACTTTAAGCATATTTACATTTATTTATTTAGGTAGGAGGGCATGGGATGTTACATGTGTGGAGGTCAAAGGACAACTCTTGGAATCTCTCCTATCCTACCAAGCAGGTCTCAAGGGAGCAAACTTGACCCAGGTCCTCATGCTTCTTAGCAAGTGCCTTTATTTAATGAGCCATTGCACTGCCAAAAACAGTCTTCTGACTCGGGCAGTGGAGGCGCACGCCTTTAATCCCAGCACTCCGGAGCAGAGGCAGGTGAATCCCTGTGAGTTTGAGGCCAGCCTGGTCTATAAGAGCTAGTTCCAGGACAGCTAGGACTGTCACACAGGGAAACCCTGTCTCAAAAAAAAAAAAAAAGTTTTCTAAGACAAGACAAAGTCTATTATTTATCTCTCTCTGCCCTGGAACTTGCTCTGCAGACCAAACTGACCTGGAACTCACAGAGATACCCCTGCCTCTGGCTCTGAATGCTGGAATTAAAAGCATGTGTCACCACGCCTGACCATTTTCCCCCAATAGAGTCTTGCTATGTCACTCAGGCTGGTCTTGCTTCCATCCAGTACCCCCCCACAAATGGCCTGTTTAGAGTTTTTCTCTGCATCACCCTGTCCTGCAAGGAAGACTCCTGTCCCCAACCCCACATGGCAAAAACTTAATTCTTGAATTTCCTTTGCAGCCCAACCCTTGTGCGTATGTTTTGATTCATACTGTCCTGCTCTGTAAACTTTCCTTCTATCATACCCTCGTCACCAAACCCAGCTATTCACTCTGCTTCTCTTCCCTCTACAGCTTTCTCTCTCCTAATAACTAGTCTTCCTTTTTTTTTTTCTTCCTTTCAGAACACCTAACAAGCAAAAGCTATCTTAGTCTTAAGTTGTATCTAAAACAAAATCTGGGCCGGCTCAGCAGGTAAAAGCATGTGCCACTCAATCCTGACACACTGACTCCCCAAAGTCCTCCGGCCTCCGCGCACGCACGTGTGGTGTGGCCCAAGTGTGATACCGGTTCTGCTGG